GGGGGGGGGGGGGGGGTGAAGCGAGAAAGGAAAGGGGATGATTGTTGTTGACGTGGAAGTTGTAATGAACTTCTCCCCAAACTACCCTTGAAATAATTAACCGGCAGTCTGGCTTTATAGCTATAAACAGGGATGGAATCAGGCAGAAGCAGTTCACAGATTCTATATGGAAACATAGAATTAAGTACCTGTGATCGGGAGTTTCTCTTTAAAAAAATTCGTACTTAATATTCAATTACGAAGTTGTTGATTTCAACAATGTTGTTGTTCCGAATTTAAATTAAACTTCATTAAGCGTACGATTTAATAAGTTATAGCAAGGAACTTGAGCAGTTGACCAACAGCGAACGAAACAAAGAGGCGAAAAGTTTTGCTCTTTATATAAAAAAACTGAGATATTCAGAATCCTAATTCTCTTGTTATAAGTCAATTGTGCAGAAAATTTTCGGTCGAATTAAACAATCTGTTAAACTGTTTACACTGCATAAATCAGCCACTTCCTTCAAACTCTTCAAACAATCAGAAGGGTCAGGTAATTACGTTAACGTCTCCTTTAACGCCAGTCAGTAAACAGACTTTACACTTTCGTGGGTTCCTCGGTTACTGCATGAGACTGCCAGAATAGTAGAAACATTACACAATAACAGTTCTTCTACTCTTTATTTTCCATTAAAACATGTAATTACACGAATGCTTCTTTTAAAAGTAACTTCCTTGCAACACAAGAGCTGCTTTTAAGAGTGACTTTCTTATATCACTAAAGCTTCTTGAAATAGTAACTTCCTTGTAACATAAAAGCTTCTTCCAAAACTAACATGTCCTTACACAAAGTGCTCGAAGTGAGCACAGGCTGAGGTCGTGTTAGTCATCCAATCAGCATAAATATCGAAAAATACCGAACATATTTCGATTAAACATCGTCTTTGGCTGTATACACCGCACCGAAATGTCCAGGCCATTTTAATTTGTGTTTTTATCCATGCAATACTGATTCTGCATTACATGACGCTGAAACTGAACTGTATCGATTTTCTAAAAAACTGTTCATCGCACGTAACGTACAATATAGACCTCACTAGGATCTATAACATTTGTCTGATACATTGTTCCGTTTAGTGAATATTTAACGAAATACAAGGGAAAGGTCGTGACTGCAAACAGCGTGATCCTACTCTAGACATCACATAGTCACAAAGTTTTAGAGATACTGTCCGCCCTTTATAATATGTTTGATAACTGGGCGATGTTTTAACTGAAACAGATCAGTCAGAAAATTAATTATCTATACACAAAATAATCGTAGTTCGACTACCGCATGCAATGTAGGGAACCTCCGTTATAACGTCTAGAGTTCTGTCGTACCCACTAGGTATCCAATGACGTCCTCCTAGTAGCATATCTCTTGTATGCCTTCACAGAGTCATGTAGAGTAGGCACAGTGTAAACTACAGGGCGAAGTTTATTGCGAGAAGGGAGGCTTCGCATGAAAAGTACGCGAAAAAGAATTATGACGATTTACTGTGGGTTAAATTAAAACTGTAGCATTCGTTCATAATTTTGCTTCAAACTATCGGATATTAAACAAGCGGGAATACAGGCATGAGACCCCCAAATACGCGCTCAGACCTTTTTGCAAATAATGCATACATGTAGACAAATGGGCTATACCACACACCGAAAAACAACGTGAAGTAGCTCGCTGCGACGTTTGCTTTCAGCTCCATGACGGCAATGCCAAGCTTCAGCATGTCGGCAACCCACCATCCAGGGACAGGGGTTGGTGGGGGAAGTGTGGGTATGGGAGCCAGCATGGGCCCTAGTCCAGCAGCGTGCAGCCTCCAGCAGAGGGACGGTGTTGCTGGCGGCGGCTACTCGTGTATGACAAGGCCACCAACTTACGATCCCTTGACGCTAGGGGCCTATGGAACGAGACCATCGCCCTGCAGCCCCACACAACCTTATCAGGCTATGAACGGGCACCAATATTCCACCAACGGTACTTCATCTACAGGTGAGCAATGCAAGGGCGTTTAACCCTTCAAAGCCCAGTCGTAACTGCATTTCAATCAGTAACTTTGTGTTTCCTATGACCCCAACTATAAGTGCGATTATTTCCTTATACAGCATTAATCAGTTGATCTTTGCAATGATGAAAAGTTGTGTTTTCTTTCCGGTAGGCACTGAATTCTTAAATATTATTAACAGCAGCTTAGGCTTCAAAGGCCTCTGAACAGATTGAAAGTGATACGAGGACGAAAACAAACGCATAACTAGGAGCTCCAATCGACATCAAATATTTTAGTGGTCAAATCGAAGAGGATGTAACGGGCGAGGAGATGGTGGATGCATATAAAATTATTGTCGAAATCCTGAAGGAATAAAATGACTTGGAAAAACTATATGTAGATGGGAGGATAAAATTAAAACTGATTTTGAAGAAATGGTATGTGCAGGTGTGGACTGGATTCATCTGACTCAGAACAGGGATTAGTAACGGACTTAGGACCTCCACACAAGACAAAAATTCTTAAGGTGGGCGGCTGTCTTCTGGGTTGTTACGCCGGGTAGTCTGGTAGAAATTTACACCGCAGTGAAAACCTCAAATCCTACACACAAAAGTTCTTGCCTAACTGAGCAACTAATTCTCAAGAATAACTCTGCTCTTCACAGGTCTGATCTCCCCAGGAGTATCAGTTCCGATAGCTGTACCAGGACAACCACCGGATATGACGTCACAATATTGGCCACGCCTCCAGTGACAATGGTGGAACTGAGCAGATATCTTCACTGGCATTCCTTCTACTGAGACGAACTGCCTAGAGGACCATGAAATCAGAGCGCTCCATGCTCTCACGACGAAGCTGAGAACTCAGAATCCACATTCAAGTTGGGGTTTGCGAAACACGCCAAGGAGACTACCAGTTTATATTACATCTGTCACTTCGGTGGTTTTAATTCTCCATGTCGGAAGGTTTTTATGTGTATTTATTTGCACAAAAAGGACGAAGATTTATCACATTTAAATGGGTGATCATTTATAATGTACAAATTTCGTACCTATACTTCAAAAACAAATAATTATAATCTCACAGAGTGCAGTGAACATATATGTGAGTAATATTTAGAGTTAAAAGATACAGAAGCTGATGGCTGCTTAAACTTCTGTTTATGTGGCAGCATTGCGCAACCTTACTGGCAGGAGACAATTACTTCGAAAACACCAAGTCACAACTTGATTACACCAGTGAGCAGTAGTCAACAATAAAAGAATGCACACCCACATACAATAGACTAGCAGATCTATCCTTTCTTCTCACTTACTGTGGCGAAAAGCCTTGCAAGCGTCAGATATTCACAGCAATAATTTTAACTTCACCACATACCAGTCGTGGCGCGTTCTTCGTGGTCTGGTCTGCCCGAAATGGTTAAAATTCTACGCCGTATTTCGCTTCTTTATGCTACTGTTTTGGCGTTATCGAAAGGGGCAGGGAATTTTATTTTCGCCGGTGTGTCCCTATCGAATCTGGAGCCAAGAACTACCGGTCTCCTATTCGGGCGGCGTCAGGAGGTTTCTCCTCGGGCATAAAGCGGCCAAATGCAATACTGACCATTCGCTCATCTCCATCTAATAATGAGGAGCTTCACATTACGTCTTCATGGAACGATGTTTAAGCACAGGGATGTTATTAAACCGAAACTCACTCGTAACGCGCCTATACTCAGTGTCCCAAAAATATGAAAACACATAATAATACAGAATATTAACCTAGTGTGTATACATCATTTTGGGATATTCTGTATATAAAGGTAATTAATTCTAAATTAAATAACATCCCATCTGTGTTTATACTTTAGCCATTGGGTGCGAGATATTTTCCACAGTGAAAATACCGTCTTTCACTCTTCTATAATCCTTAATTGCACATTATTCATCCGACAGACCGAGTACCTTTTCCGTAAAAATAGATGTCTCTTGCCACCATTTCTCGTTAAATGAATTTAACTGAAATCGAACAACACGACAATTTTCGGTATTAATTTAATGTGTTAAAATACTGGACAAATATCAGACTATTAAAATTTTGCAGACTGTTTTTTCTTCTCTCGTTACTTCAGTTAGGTCAGAAGTGATGGGGTGTTTACATTTTGTTGATATTGGACTGTCGACCGCACAGACGCCCATGTTGTTTTACATAAAACAGTATAGTTAGATATCGGGGCTACGAAGAATCTGCTCTGTGGCTTATCGGTAAATATAATTTAAATTCCTTCTTCAGCCTTTGTAACGATCCAGTAAAGTGCTGTGGACTGCTTTGCTAAATTTTGCTGCAGTAATTTCACCAATGTTGTCTGAGAATCTAGAGACAACCTCTAATAGGAAAGGTTTGTTTTATTCTATTGGATATGGGAATGCATAGGTTTTGCTAACACGCAGAGTTGCATTTTCAGTCATAGTTAAGATGACTGTAAGTCTAAAGGTTTGGCAGGAAGGATATGCCAGTAAAGACACTTCTGCATTGGGTGTAACTTATGCAGATTATCAGAATTGTCAAGTAACGGCATATGCCCATTTTATAAAAAGATTCACGACTTCACCGTATGTCACGCTTAAATTTAAAACGTGGCTAAAAGGCACAGAACCTAAAGTCGTACTTAGCAATGAGATGTGTACAGTGAATACAACCTCTCAGAAACGTAAAAATAATAATAATAAACTGAAAGAATTGATTTATAATAATAGTTAGTTTGCCGAGTATCGTATTTGTAAAAGAGGTCCAAAGGTACAAACTAAAGTGGAGAAAACTATTCGTCGATTCTGGCTGGACACAATAGTACATCACATGGAATTATGACACAACACGTATGCTAACAGCACCGATGACCCTGTTTCAGCAAGGAGAGAACTAACGACTCCGAATATGACAGTCATTATCAGTCAACACTTTGCTTATGGATGTAACATTATTACTAATCTATATATAAGCATAATAGATATATTGCCTTGTTCTTTTACACATACAGTGCACTGTTTAACCTCTGTAACATGATGTACTGGGCCGGTCTTGAGTGCACATCACGACCGCGAAGTTCCTACGACGTCGTTGAAAATGAAGTGGAGCGGAAATACATTTTTAAAAAAACTGACTGATGCATTTAAAACTATGCAATGTCGATTCACATACAAAACGTGTTTTTGTTGTAGTTTAAACGTGCTTTAATAATCCTGAGAGATTCCTAACAGTCTATTAAATTAAATTAATTTAGTTATTATGCACACGCTGTCCGTACTGACACTGATTTCCGCAATGGGTTGATCAGGCGATGAATCCTCAATTGAGAACCGAGGTTGTTATAAGAGGTAATCGGTTGTCCTGTCTCACACCTCAGAGGAAGTACGAAGCATCGGTGGAATCGTGGTTGCTAGAAAAACTGGATTCCTTGGAGAAAAAACACACCCAGGTTTCACTTTTTCCATCACAAATTCCACAAGGTTTTCCCTTTGATTAAACTAAGGCATTTGCTGATACAAATCAACTGATTTACGGTAACAATAAAAACATGATCTTGTAATGGGTGAACAGGATATTAAATATAAACTTATAGTATTAACTAAGAAGCTGACTGTCTAAAAAAAACTGACCGAAAAATTATGCAGTCATATGATTTCGCCAGCACCAAGGCCGGCCCCAACATGAAAAGTTCGTCTTTGCTGCACAGGGTCGCTTAATCAGTGGCGTAACGACAACCCGCTCTTATTGTAGGGAACACCTTGTTTTATTACCCGCCGCGCATCGTAATTTGATTGTAGCCATGTTACTTGCATTAATTGTTATAGAAGGCACATGAATTAGTGTATTCCCTCCTCAGATGTCATTGCGCCACTCAGAACAAATATTCATAATAAGAAAAGGTGAAAAATACTTAGATTATCATAAAGTAGCATGCTCTTAACTCTAGTAGAATTGCGACATTTTTCCCTGTAAATTAAATTTATGATAGCTTCAGCAAAAAAGACGAGACCCAATAGGCCGCTTTCTTAAAGATGCTTTCGCGTAAGGTTTTTGGTTTACACACGAGTGGTGAGTTATTTTATTAAGAATTATAAACATAAAATATTTTTCTTCTTGCTATGTATTGGCATATTGTCTTTTCAAAACCAGTTTGTACAAGTGCCCCAGTTTCATAATTCCTGATGTGCATATATAGGCTATGAAGAGAAAACTGCACAATGACTAGCTTAAAATCTGTACTGCTCCCCCAGTATTGTGAGGGTGATTAAGTCGAGAAGAGTGAGATGGTCTGGGCATGTAGCGCGCATGGATGGGACAAGAGGTGTGCACCGGGTACTGGTTGGGAAACCTGCAGGGAAGAGACCGCTGGGGAGACCTAGACGTAGATGGGAGGATAATCTCAGGCGGGATCTATGGGAGATAGGAGTTGAAGGAAACTGGATTTTGTTGGCCCAGGACAGGGTCCGGTGGAGGGCTTTGGTTAATTCGGTGATGAACCTTCGGGTTCGGTAAGCCATCTAGTTAGTTAGTTATATATATATATATATATATGACCAACAGTAAGATCAGGCTTACGAGATTTCTACTCACGCAAGATATAGTTTAGAATATATTTTGAGCACTATACCCTTTATTTATTAAGAACCCGTTCACATTATGGCCAAAAATAAAGAAAAATGTGCTCTTATATTAATATAATAAATGAGGCATTTTGTAAAATATTTTGTAAAAATTAATACGTTCAGTAACAGAAACAAAGCGCAAAGTTTTCACTAGCTAGTACGGACAAATGTTAGTGGTTTTAAAATGCGTCGACTATTACATAGAGCCTGCATCTAATGACTCATTATACAGAAATGATGGTCAAAGTTGTTTTAATGTCGTTACAAACCAAGAATATAAATTACCGGATCCTAAACGTAACATGGAAATTCTGAAAGTAACTGCGAGACTAAACAGAGATAAAACATCGCCTTTTCATGCAAGGAATCCTGCAGGCCTATCCATAAATATATTGAACAAAAGTCTGATATTCTTTTAGAAGTGGAATATCGAATGTCAAACTCGCAACCCTCGTTTATGCGACCTGACTCAGTTCCCGAATTATACACGATGTGCGGCCCCAATTTCAATAAACTTTAATTTCAAATGCTCATGTAGCTACTTGTGTATCGCTGTTTTATATTTGAGTGAACTAAAGTGGAAATATGATCCACTGAAATCCACACTGTGTGTGACTGTGAGAAAACAGAGAAACGAAAAATATATCATAAGAAGTTAGCTTGGAATTAGTTAAGGTAAGCGGTTAAGATTTTTCCCAGTCACCTATCTTTTAAGGGGCCCTTAGTAAACATTAATTTCGACATGCCTAATCTAACAGAAGAAATTTGCGAATTCTAGTCACTTCCAAACTTTTCGTTTAACTTTATCATTCGTTTTTGTACCAACGATACATGCTAAGGATTTTTCACCCTTTCAAGTTTTGAATTTACAGTTTTATCCAAATATTATATATTTCAAACACTGTATTATAACAATCCCAGAGCACAGGAACATATGAACACCGTTTATGTAAATGGAATACTGAAACTTTAAATTATAATTATTTCATAGCACAAAACTGATATAATTAATTACATAATATCGCTTTAACATGCATTTCATTCTTCAACCCATGAATGTCGGCGAATAAACTCTACTTTGATTTATAATTCGAAATCATGTCTATTCATTTTCCTCAATTCCCTGTCCCAAAAATGGCAATTCTGAGAACAGCCTTCCGTAATGAGGAGCTTCATAATCTATACTCTGCACCAAATATTGTCAGGTGGATTAAATTAAAACTAATGAGACCCATTTCGCATGTAGCACGCATAAGACAGGTGAGACACAAACAATTTAACTGCAAATATTTAAGGGAAGATACCACTTCGGACACCTATGGTTGATAACAAATAATATTACATTGAGGGTGTGTACTGGGCATCAGTGGTTCAGGATAGGGTACAGTGGTAAGTTTATACAAAAACGGTGGTCAGTTTTTTATTCCATAAAAGGAACAAAACGTTATTGAC